AAATGTTTTTGTCTGCAAGAATGCAATACTGAGGCCCCATAGGAAGGGCCTCAGTAAAATATTTTTAACTCCTTATCTTTTTAAAAACAAAATTTGACTGGCAGAACATATGTTTGCTTAATAAAAGAAATTCCAGATGTTCTTTTAATACATTTAAATAATGTTTCAAACTCATTATCTTTTTAAAAATAAAATTTGACTGGCAGAACGTATGTCTGGTTGTCGCTGGCTTTCACACTAAAAAATTTGTAAATTCCAATTAAAACAATAATTGATAATTAATATAAGTAGTATTGTTTATTTTTCAGATTGGACAAGACATGATGTAATTTTTTATAGCGAAATCCCCAGATTTTTTCCGAATATTATAGTCAAACGATAAAATAAAAATTGAATAAATTATTAAAATTTATTACTATCCATAAAGAATAATTAGTTATTTTACAGTAAATTTATCTGCCTTCATACGAACATAGTTGACATATTACAGAAGGGCAGTGTGTGACATGGAAACGATAAGTTATTAAAGTGACTAAAAGGTTGAAGGTGGAGTAAGCTCATAAATAACTTTGACTGTTACTTGCCATATAAGATAAAGATGAGACAGGTATTAGCTTGAACCAGGTCAATTCTGTTAAAACAGCTCAATTTTCTATCATATAGCGGGCTAATTAGGATATAAAATGTAAATTCCTTTGCCTATTAGGAGCTGGTCCTAAATAAATAAATAATCTAGAAATTAGTGATAAATAATAAATACGTGTTCGAAAGTTCGTAAGAGAGACAATGGCGTCTACAAATTAAAATTAGTTTCATAGAAATAGGGTGTCCTAAATGAGAATATCATTAATTAGTTATATTTTCTTTTAATTTTTAGTTCTAATCTTAAAAATGTAATGACTACATATTAATCAATTAACCAATTTTTGGCAGTTTATCACAGAATGTAACTATTTATCAGAATCACTAAAATATTTCACACAAGACATGCATACAGGGTGTTCATTTTAAAACTTCCCACCCTTAATATCTTCTTTCCAGGACCTCGATTCTCGGCTTCATGGGAAAATTTTATCATGGGTAATAATTCCACTGCTTATTTTCCAGTTTCTATAATGTAAAATGTTACAGTCATAGATGCTGACTTACAAACAACAGTAATTGTACATTAAATTTACCTTACTAAATAAGGAAATTTATTTTTTATAGAGTTTTAATGTTAGATAAAGAGTTGCTAGTGTTATTTTTTTTGGACCCCAATTGTGTCATTGTAAATGTTTTTTATAGGATACTAAACGTTTAGAACAGTGGCAGCATATATATCGTTACTAATTCCGATAAAGCACTTTCTAGATATGATGCTGTTCTATACTTTTTAGAAGATATTATGAGGCTATTTTTACCGATGGTACTGTTAGCAAAATAAAAAGGGGAAAGCTGAAATTAAAGGATGAAGTAATACCATGTATTTTCCCAAATCTCCCTTTATACTTGTATTACAACAATAAAAAATCTGTTAACTGTGTTTTATTTTACTCTTAAAACTATATACTGGTTCAATTCAAAAAAGAATTTGCCACAAAATTGTACTTATCAAATTTCAGCATTTAAGAAACTGTTATGTTGGCTTTTGCCACTCTAGTGTACTGTCAGTTGTCAGCATGACAGCAAGGTCAGGGTCGTGGAACACGAGACGATATGTCAACTGTCACTCGAACCTGTCCGCCTTTTTATCGCTAGTGAGTTACAACTTACCACGATGTCTAATGTACTGTATTACAACATTAAAGAGTTACTCAGAACTTGGGGTGCTTCTTTTCCCGTTACCAACATCTTATCAAACATGGTGGCAGCGCAGTGAGAACCCTAGTCTCAATAAAATAAAAATTAAGGTGAGCCCTAACCAAAAAAAAAATATTTTCACATCGAAACTCATATCGAGCGAAAACCGGATTATAAATCCAGTCGTTTTACAATAAACGCTCTCAATGCCTTCCAACGAAACAGGCGCGGTCGGCCGAGCAGGCCCCAGTAACATTCATGTACCAATCCAGGTGTCCCCACCAGAGAAATTTAACTTTACGGAACCGCAAGCATGGCCACAATGGCGAAAGCGGTTTGAAAGATTTATGGCAGTCTCAGGACAAGACAATAAAAGTGACAAAGATAAGATTAATATCTTAATTTATGTAATGGGGGAACAGGCTGAAGAAGTCATGCTTCAGTTCGCCACTGTACCAACAACATTCTTAGGTGCCTTGAACAGTTTCGAAGCACATTTTATTCCCAGACGAAACATCATATTTGTACGATATAAATTTAATTCTCGCATTCAACAACCATCAGACTCAGTTGAAAGTTTCATTACAAGTCTACACAGTTTAGCAGAGCATTGCAACTACGGTAACCTGAAAGAAGAACTTATCCGCGACAGATGGTGCGTTTGATTTGATCATCGGAGATCTCCCAGCGCTTCAAAAGTGTTTGAATTGACACTCCGAGAGATCCCTAAAGTGTTTGTTTCGCTTTGGAGCGAGAACATAGAGCGAGCTCGATGTTCTCAGTGCAGAAAGATCGAGAAGAGGGAGAAATTTGTCTTTGTCTCCACCTATCTCTTTTTAATTAACTTACAAACAAATTTGAATCTCAAAATTAAAGACCAGACAAGAAGTCAACAAATTACTTAGCCGCTTTTGTCTTATAGCTAAAATTATTCATCATAAAAAAACACAAAATATGTGTTTGGAAAATACATTTTTTCTGTCCAGATCTAATCACCAGTAATCACAGTCATGGAGTATGAGAGCGAAGCGGGCATTTGTGGTAAATGCTGCATTTCATGGCCATTACCCCTTATTATTCAAAGTTTTTCCATTTTCTTTACTTTTTGCTCACTATTCTAACATACAAACCAGAAACAAGAATCACAAAAAAGCGAGGTTATGTTTTTTACTCTGTTTTATTTGATTTGATTCAATGCTCTATTGTGACGTCATCACTTCTCGGTCTCCTCGACGCTCGCTCGATCGAGTTTCAAATCAAACGCCCCTAGAATCGTCGTAGGAATGACAGATAAGAAAACCAGTGAAAGGTTACAGCTTCAAGCTAATTTAACCCTAGCAGACTGCATCCTTGCTACGAAACAAGCGGAAATGCAGGCAAGTCAGAGACTGATTGTAGTGTGCAAGACTCAGTGCCAGAAATTGTCGCGAGTGAGGTAGTGCGCGAAGAAAGACGATCTCGCGATTCATTTGTACCATATTCACCCGCAGATTCTCTCGAACCTCTTGTACCCTCCTATAGACCTGCCAGAATTGTAAAACGTCCCTCCTATTTGAAAGACTATGTAAGTCTGTAATTACCACCTTTCAAAAGGGAGATATGTTATGTTGGCTTTTGCCACTCTAGTGTACTGTCAGTTGTCAGCATGACAGCCAGGTCAGGGTCGTGGAACACGAGACGATATGTCAACTGTCACTCGAACCTGCCCGCCTTTTTATCGCTAGTGAGTTACAACTTACCACGATGTCTAATGTACTGTATTACAACATTAAAGAGTTACTCAGAACTTGGGGTGCTTCTTTTCCCGTTACCAACATCTTATCAAACAGAAACCTTTTCGAATTTGGTCATACATACGTAATTCGTATTTTATATAGATAAAATTAAATAATTTATCAATTAAAACATGCAAGACTTATTTAGAAATAAATACAACAGTATTTTCTGTGCTTTATTTAGCTATAAACAAGTTTATTTTTATTATTTTGACAAAATTATGTATAATTCCCATAAGAAGCCTTGTATTTTGAACACCGTATGCAGTACCAGCGCCCATGCGGTTAATTATAGAAGCTCAACTAGCATGCGTTTTTTGGGACCGTATTTTGAGTATGCCGATTCGCCTTCTTGTCTCTAGTCTTCATATTCCAAACAAAATGGCTGTCGTGAGAAGGGTTGGTATATCTAAGGGGTTGCGACATACGATGTATTATATCTACAAGACGTGAAATCATAAATAATGAATTACATTTATTTTGTCTGCACCCACATGAATATCTTTTATACGCACAGACTATAACACGAAAAAGTAGTCCATCGCGTTCTTCTGATAGTATAAACTTTCATATTCATTCTAGTAAGGACATTGTATGGATAATTCAACATTTGAATTACTACGCAGAAGTGCATCTAATCGCCATCTATCGCTAATTAGTTAATTAATAATTTTCTAAAGCGCAAAATGAACACCTTGAAAATTTATAATTCCTCCTGGGCCTTTATTTCTAGTCGGATTTATGTGAAATTTTCAGCAAATACCAATATCAAAACCTTTAATTTTTTATAAACGTTCGAAAAATATTTATTTTCGAAAATGTTTAAAAAGAATTTAAAAAAAAATATATTTACGCGCCATTTTGTATAAAACCTATGAAAATGTATTGCTTTTTATTTTAATAAGTATCTAGTTTCTTAAATATCTCTATAGAGTGCGATCTTATTGTTGCAAAAATTTAAAGCTCTATATATTCTCGAGAAACATAATATCGCGAAGTATTCCTAGTCGCGCGCTTATAAATACAATGTTTTATTTGAAAATCCTTAAAACATTTTTTCTTTCGCGAGAGATCTGGTTTGTCCTTAACCTTTGTTGTTTTTCAATCTTCACCTAACATTGTGTATTTTTGCATTGCAGGCTTGTTAATGGCCATTTTAAGCCGAAACTATGATTTAAATAAAATATATTTTTGATTTTGAGAATTGTTTTTCTTACTTCCAAAATAACATCGTGGAATATGGAAACAGATTTTAAGAATTCAAATACAGGGTGTTGTTTTCAGCTGGACAAATGTCAAAAAAATCTACGGGCTTGTTCCGAAGTTATATATAATGGAAGACAAAATTGACAAAACCTCAGTTTTTTGTACGAGTTATCAATTTTATTGTACTTTATATTTTTATACAAACAAACATTAGGTATTATTAATAAACACACTTACCTAATTTTTCATAAATAACGGCCCTATTAAAACGAGAAACTTGACCGACCAAAACATAAGTTAGCGTTACAGATAGCACACAGAACACTCTAAAACGCAATATAAAATTGTTCTTTCTAGTCCTAAAAGATATTCCCATTCTTTTATTAACTTTTTGACTCCGAATGTCAAGAAAGCATGAAATCAAATTCACACGCACTTGCAACAAATTTCAAAGTGATTCGCAAATTTTATCTCTATTGAACGTTTGACCTGGTGTTATTTTTATAATTAATTTAGTCACGCAAAGTTATTTCATCAACTTGCAACAGTCAAATAAACCGATATCTAGTATTTCTTTGAAATAAATAAACCTCCTACCCTGCAACAGTATTATCTACCTATCAGTAATGGAAACTTATTTTGAAAACAAACTTTTATTATCTTACTAAACGAAGAGTTCATTTCATGTTATTGAAAGGTTCAAGATTGTGTTTATAAATAAATCTTTTTATACTACTGCTGCTTAAATTCTAATTACTTTGTTGAAATTTTTAAGACTTAATAATATGACAGCGATATCAACGTTCATCAATTAGTCATTGGTTAAGTGCCGAATGACTTTTATGAATTTGAAACCACTAGAGGGTTGAAACCTTAGATAAAAGAAACAACAGTTAAAGCATTTCATTCATATCATTTGTTTGGTCCCAATTATTGGAAAAGAAAAAGAAGATATTTTATACGGGTTGAAAGATGACATCCTGTAATCCTAGATCTTGTCTGGCAACACTGCTGTTACACGCAACTAAAAGTCTGTCGATTCCAGTGGATATCAGCTTTATCAAAACTAGTGATTTTCAAAAATATCGGCATCAAAAATTTAAACTCCAAAAAAATAAAATATATTAGATTCTAAGGCTTTTACAGTATTTAAAATTAATATATCCAAAACCCTTAAAATACTCCGAGAATACCACTCTTTTTCGGATACCTTAATTATCTTCAAGTCCTACAAGTGGTAGCCAAATATTTCTTGTATGCCTATTAAGCAAGCATAAGCATATTTATTTTACTACTAAGGTCCAGACTAAAAAGTTTCCATTAATAACAATTTTTTGTGAAATTAATAACGTTAAAATATCAAAGAACATAAATAATAGTAAAGCAAAGGCAGATTTATGCTGCGTTTGAATATCCACATCGGATGCATCTGATGTGTTGTAAATCACGTGATTCAATATATGTAAATGTAGTAGGACAGATATGTCCGATGTGGCTAAACAAACGCTCGAGATGTAGAAAATGCATCGGATGTGAATATTCAAACGCAACAAATACATGTGATATTACGTAAAAAATCTACACCACTAAACAATGTAACACATCACCTAACCTTACTTACTTATGAAAAGACACTTCAGCTCTCACATTATCTAGTTTTTTGCACAAAATGCACTCGCCGACCATGTTGTTAGCTATACACTAAAACTATAAGCCAAAATATTTCCAAATAAGTATAAAAATCAACAAAAACACCTGATATGGAACAATTTACTGTAAGGCAACGTCGCAAACTATCGATCGATACAATACTATACGTGACTTATAGTATGAATGAAAAAAGGTTATTTTCAATTGCAATGTTGTCACGTTTAACGCTTTTAAAATCCATCCATTTATTTGACATAGTTTAACTAAGTATTTGCAAATTTGTTATTAAGCAGGCGTATGTATGTAAAAACGATAGGTACAAAAATGCCCTGCATAACCCAACAAACAATAAATTGCGGGGATATTGCTGGCCTTTTGCTGTAATTGAAAAGAAAATGAATGTGACGATTAAAAGATAAAAGCCTACTTTTGGCCTTTCGATAATGGCCCAGCATTATGTTGCTTGATGATGGCCTTATGAAGGGTAAGTAACTGTATTGGGTAAAAGCATAGTAAAAGTCAAAAAGCTTTTAACTGCCGCAGACCCAACTCCAACAGTCCAGGAGGGCTCCATCTCGCGTTTATAGATGGAGACACTAATGATCGCTTGTTACATACTCAACGAGTGGACATGTAGTATGAGGCCAGTCTCGCATTGCTGGTATTCACTATTCAGTATTCATTGTAATTTTTTACTTTTACATGTTAATTTAGAATATTTCATTATCAATTTTTTTGAAAAAGATATTTCTTCTGTATTATTATATTTATTATATAGCTGAATTAAATAAAATGTCTACAATATTCTATATTGAAGTGCCTTCTGTTTTTGTATAGAATTTATAGTTCAAACGGTACTACTGGTCAAAGAGGCACTATCGAATATCCTGTCTGATCATGTGCCTGACACATGGTCTTTATTAATAAGGCCAGCAATGTTCCGTTAACTTTCCATCAATAGGCCATTAATTGCCAATATATTTATTTCTAGACATTAAAGGAGAAACGAAGGCCCATTAATTGCTTATGATACTTTGCCAGACTTCGGCCCGACTGTCGGCCGTAGTGAATGACCTATATGTGCCGGCCTTTTCATTAAAAAATTCAAATGGCCATCAATGTAATTGGAGGGTGACAGTTACTGGGCCTTTAATTCCCCTACACAAAATGTTTGTTGGGAATAGTCATAGCTTGATGTACTTTGTACACATTTTATACGTTTTTTTTGTTTTGTTAAATGTCATTTTATTTGGAAACTTACTATAACAAATGTTTCTGGAAATAATGCAGTACTGTACTAGGTACGAAAATGAATTGGTGGGGACGCTTGATGTGTCGCAAATATCTCAAAACTATTCTAATTAATAAAACTTGTTGCTATTAGTGAGTTATAGGTAAAAACTATTTTTAAATGTGAAAAAGATAAACACACAGCTTAACAACATCGCACCAGGCAACGCATGTCAGTTCTTTTACGAAATCGCTACGTGCTACGTTTCTTTGCAGTGTATGACCGGGTTTAAAGGTAAATAAATGTATCTGTTGTTTCTATAATCTAAGGTTAAAACTGTAAATTTTATAGACTGATTTATTGAAAGTGATACTTTATTTGAAAGGTTCTTTTAAAACTTTTTAAACCTGTAAGAGTACATTCTCTATTCAAAGTAAGTATTATAAATACTCTGATAATTCCAAGCTTAGAAATATTTTCTAGAATTACTACAAAATTTTCTACAAGGTCTTCAACAATATCCGTATCTCACGTGATCTAGTAACATCGCAGAACACATGGCAGAACGCATCGGAAGGGCCTTATTTCGTATAATTTAATTGCTTTTAAAATATATAAATAAATATTCGACTTAATTAACGACTTTTTAATTATTTTCATTATTTTCCTCTATAATAATCACAAATATTAATACAATTACTATCAGCTTCAATAAAACCAGATATCTTTATCTGTAACGTGTGGAGGGTGGGTTACCCCCACGGCACTTAGACATCACTAGGCCCATTGTGCATCCTTCTAAAACGATAGACACCTCCTAGCTCGTGAGGCAGCCTACAGATTTAATGTAGTTGACAACGTCGCCAAGAGGTGCTTCTCTTATATCGGCCGGTGTTAGCCGATACTCGCCGAACACAAATCTCCTAATAAATGAGAGCGTCGAGCAATCGTAGAGGATATGTTCGATGGTCTCATCTTCTTCTACAGAGTGCGGATTCGTTGTGAAAAGGACCATTTTAGTCTTCTTAGGATTGATAGACAGTAAGTGGTCCACACCACTGTTCTATAATTTTGAGAGCTACTTGCATTCTTTCGCAGAGTATGTTCTCAAAATTCCCTGTTTGCAGAATGCCAGGTCATCTGCATATGCTATTGTGTAGTGACTGTCATTATTGAGGCGGTTGATGAGGGTGTCGAGGACCATGTTCCACAGCAGAGGTGACATACCCTCGCAACCAAGCCTCTAATATTCACATCTTCTACACTTATGTTTACTGCTCGCTTTGAAAGCATGTTATGTATCCACCCCTTAGGTGTATTTTAGGTGATTTTATCAAAAGCACCTTCTATGTCTATGAAAACACCCAAGGCGGACTCCTTAATTTCCAGGGATCTCTCTATTCGGCCAGCAACTAAATGAAGGGCTGAATCAGTGAATCTGCCTGGGGTGTATGCATGTTGGTTTGGGTGTAGTGGTGTTGTTGTAATCACCGCATCCCTTATGTATCTTTCGCATGGTGACCGGAAAAAAGCGCAAAGGAAATAAGCGCACAGGAAATATGCGCACAGAAAAAAGCGCACAGACATATAAGCGCACAGGAAATAACCGCACGAGGAAATATGCGCACACGGAAAAAACCGCACACGGAAAAAAGCTCACGGGTATAAAAGCGCACATGGAAGAAAGCGCACATTGAAAAAAGCGCAAAGTGCATGTAGTTTATATTTATATTTTGTTACAATTTTTTGTTGTTTGATTAAAACTTTAATTATCGTTGTTTATAGTAGTTACCATAATTTTTGCTGATAATTCAGGAATCTACTCAGTTATTTATTTGGAATTATTATAAGTACGATACAAAGAATAGATCTGTACCTTGGTTTGTTATATTCCAGGTGAAAAATATTAGACAAGTTTAAAAAAATTCTTAAAATACTTTCACAATAAAGTTATTACGGTTTATAGTATTTATATTTCCATTATGGATTGTTGAGGACAGACTAATTCCACCAAATCCGCTTTTAAAAAATCATAAGGATCAGTTTCGCCGCGAGGAAATTATGCTGTATATTTTACTTATCTCATACAGTGTGTATCTTAATTAAAACGAAATATTTGCAAGTGGTCATTTATTTTTACTAGAGATTATAAAATTAAGATAGGTACTTATTATTTCATTTATTAGTTGATTTTTTGTTAATAATTTTTAATTCAGGATAAATCCCATGCCGTCAATCTCTTTCTTTATAAGTTGCCACATTGCAGTTTCAAGTAACTTGTATACTTTCGTCTTTTAACAAGCAAAAGGCAACGGAAACAGACATTTCATTTGCATATGCATGGATGTTTAAACAGTTTGGCAGCTAATTTTTCCCATTTAAGTTGGCGAAATTTACGAAATTTTTCGAAAATAATTAAAGGGTCACTAAACGGCATTTACAAGAATTGATAGTCGAACCGAAACGAAAAATGCATATAGGTTTTTAGTGTAATACATTTTTATTCCATATAAGTCCGCATATTTGGTGGTTACTTTTCACACCGATATAATTTTTGATTATGTATTCATAGAACTTAATTTTTTTATTTTTATTCAGAGAATCTTCAGTTGTTCTGTATCCTATTCTTAACGAGATATAAACTACATGTACTTTGCGCTTTTTTCAATGTGCGCTTTTATACCCGTGCGGTTTTTTCCGTGTGCGGTTTTTTCCGTGTGCGCATCTTTCCACG